CTCAAAAAAAAAAAAAAAAAAGTGTCTGGGTCCAGGGTGGCCCTGGCGCCCTCTCACCCAACTTGCAGCTCCAGATGGTACTGATAGCCCCTGAGCAGGAAGCCGGGCCAGGCTGCTTATGCAAGTCTGATTAATGATAAGGGGGAGAATAAAGAGCCACAAGAACACAGACCATGGCACGCACACCCTCAGGCAGCAGCTGACATTGCTGTGACCCTACCCTGCCCCACTCCCACTCCCAGTAGGAAGCTCTTTAGCCCACAGAACAGACCGCCTGGGAAGACCCATGACCAGGAAGACCACCGTCCTGGGACAGAGCGTGCAGACTGGAGGGCTCTTCAGGGTGGCGTTGGTCTCCCAGCTACAGCATGGCTGGAAAGGTGGTGATAGCCAGCCCACCCTCAGGTGCCTGAGGGCAGATCAGAGTAACCACCAGGACAGGGGGAACTCAGCCACTTCCTGGCTGACAGCAGGCCCAGGCCTCAGCGGTGGAGGGGTACTGTGTCTGCAGCCCAGCCTCGAGCTAACCAGGGAGCACATGACGTGGCTTGAGAGCAGGGAATGGGACGGACTCGAGCTCAGCAGACTGCGTCTATGCAGGAAGGGGTGGTGGGACGGGACACAGGGGTGTCTGGGAGCTAAAAAGCTGGGCCAGGACCCCGGGGGAGCAGCGGAGAGCTAGGAACAGCACGTGGCTACATGGCCACCCCAGGGAGGTCCAGCTTGTCCTCTGCACAGAACTCTGTCTACACATGGTAAGCTGATTAGGACAGGGCCACCACCTTCCTACAGATGAGGAAACTGAGGCCCAGAGAGACCAGGGTCTTACTCTGTACCTGACGCCTGGCTCCCTGATCTCAGCACGGGCCCCACCAGCTCTCAACTCCATGAGCTTCCTGAGAGCAATGCCTGGGGGCGGCCGTATCCAGCTCCCACGGTGCCATGCCTCCTTCTCAGGGCTCCTCATTTCAGGAGAGCACAGGTCTCCCCAGCCTCAACCACTGACACTTGCAGCCTTTGTCCCCAATCCTGGAAGATGTCAGGGTAGTGTCACGGAGGCCAACCTGACAGTCCAGGCCCCAGCCGTGAGAGCCGAAGGAAGCCGGCACTGGCCACCTTGGGACACCCATGCTGCTGGGGAGCCTGCTTGACCCTGCGGCCCAGCAGAGCCCCTCCCCACCGTGTCTATGGACAGGTTTAGCCTCAGCAGCTCTGGTCTCTGCAGTCTGCCCTGTGCCCTGGGCCACGTGAAGCTGTGGCTGCCCTGCAGCTGGACTCTTGCTTCAGACCACAGGCTCTACCAGACCCAGGGTGGTCCCTAGCAAGGCTCAGCCCTCACCCTCCCGGGCGCTCATGTCCTGACCAGGTCCCTGAGGCCAGATGGAACCTGAAGCCAGAGGCCACACCCTGGGCTGGCCGGGCAGCCCTGGCTCCTTAGTGCTCTGCAGCTCCCACTGGCCCCATGTCCATGCACCACTCCAGAGCCCAGCTCATACTTCTTCATGGAAGGGGGTATCCACATTCCTCTCACCGTCCACCCAAGAAGGTGACAGGCAAGGGCCCAACAGGTGGCATGGTGTTTAAGGTGCTGAACTCCCACCTGGTGAACACAGTTTTAATTTTGGACCTAGTGGCTTAAAAATCATCCTGGGTATGTGTGCATGCATGCCTAAAATCCCAAGAAGAGAATGAAGGAGAGGGACTGCAGCATGGCTGAATTCCCTGAGGGAGGTGGTTCCCCTCTCTGTCACTCTTCAGCAAGCACATACGCCCTAGGGCAAACAAAACTAGAAAATAAAATAAGTAAATGAAAGCAGCAAGCAGGTAGAGGGGATGGATGGGGGTTGTTCTAACGAATCCTTCTCCAGGATGGTCTTCTCTGCTAGGGCAGAGGAAGAAATACAGGCCCAGCCCTGGCTCCCCCAAAGCACTGGGTCCTGGGGCCTGAGGTTGTGCCTGGAAAGGGGAGCCGAGGTCAGCACCCCCTGCAGGCCCCACAGTGGCACATGGCCTCCTCTGGCTCCAGTGGGAGCCCCACTGCCGTTGGGCAGAGCGTGTGGACAGAGTGGTGCACCTGGGGGCTGGGACGGGCAGGGAGCCGGAGAGAGGAGGCAGGAAAGCTGGAGGCATACAGAGATGGGGAAAGAGGGAAGCAGACAGGGCACTTTGCACAGATGTTCTGGTGCTGTACCTGTGTGCACACAGCTACGGGGACATGGGCTGGAGCTCGGGGAGAGTGTGCACTGGACCCAGAGGGGCCAGCACTGCAGAGCTGTGGGGTGGCAAGGGCACAGACCAGGACAGAAGAGCCAGGGGGAGAGCAGGCAGGTCCCAGGACCACACAGGCACAGGGGTGGAGAGAAAGAGGCTTTAGGCACTCCCTCTAGACCCCAGGGCAAGCTTGTCACCCAGCTTCACACGGCCCAGCATGCCTGCTTTCCACCCCTGTTGCCTGCCTCTTGCAGCTAGACCAGAGGCTCTGAGCCAGGCCTAGCCAGCGTATGCATCCCGCTGCGCGTGAACAGAAAGGTCAAGGCCAGTGGCAGCTACGGGCCAGGGTAGAGCGAGGGTGTTGCACTGGTCTTGGGAGCATTGGGGTTAAAGAGAGGAAGTGATTTCCCACTCTCCAGCTCCATGCTGAGAGGCTCCCCTGTCCCCTCTGCCCAGCACTCCCATCGGCCCTGGCCACCCCACTGCAGCCCACTGTAGTCAAGGCTCCCATCTATGCTGTAAGGCCAGGGACAGAGGCTCCTGGTCCCTCTGCCTCCTGAGGCTCATGCTGACCTGAGAGGTCAGACTCACCGTCCTGGGTAGCTGTGCCCCGTCCCATCCAGCCTGGAGGAGCCCTGTCGCCAGATCGCCCCCGGGTCGCAGCAAAGCCCCTCGCTGGATTCAGGAGACGACTACAGCAACTGGTGATGTGAACGGCACAGCGGGTTGACAGGCTGCCCACATCTGAAACCATGAGTCATCGTAGGGCGGCAGTCCTGAGCAGAGCCGAGGTGGCTGTCACCACGGATCACAACCCGGGGATCTCGAGGTGGGACAGCTTGCATCCCCATGACACTGAGCTGCCGAATGTCAACTTCAGAGATTTGCTTGCTGACTGGCAAGCATGCTGCGTTCCTCCCAGGAACCACCACTGAGATGCACGGAACTCGCCCCTAGAGGCAAGGGCTGGCTAGATGCCGAGCTCTCCTGGGCTTTGCTCAGACCTAACGTTCTCCTCCCACCAGTCAATGTGATCTGCAAACCCCAAGGGCCAGGAAGGTGTTAAACATGAAAATGATGCAGACTCAGGAGAACACAGAAGACTTCAAGTTGGAGTCCCCTCTACTCTTCCAGAGGTAGCCCCTTGTGAGCAGTCAGGATGAGTCTCTCCAGACACACTTTTTTAAAGAATTATTTTATTTTATAATTTGACGAGAGAGAGAGAGAGGAAAGTGAGAAAGCAAGGAAGCAGGTCTAGGACTTGAACCATGATTGGCCACATGGGAGTCCAGCACCCTTAACCACCATGCTACCTGCCGACCCATCTCCAGACACTTTTTTTTAAATATTTAATTTTATTGATCATTATTATTACTATGTTTTAATATTTTTTGAGAGGTTTTTGCTATAGGGCACGTGTGCTCGCCAGACAGACAGAGAGAGACAGAGAGACAGAAAGCAAGAAATCACCCCCCGGGGGGGATGGTCACGCCGCAATCCCTTCTCCTCCATTCTCCTCTCGGGCACGCACACACACGCGCCCAGCGTGAGTTTAAGC